GGTGATTCATGCAAACATCCAGTGATGACAAAATGTCAGCCTTTTTTACTGTATTCTTCTCAAAAGCACCATGTTCCAACTGATTTTATATCACCACCAGCCAAGACCGGAGTTGAGGAAGTGATCGACGCGACACYAGCCCTTTTCAGCTCTGTCTTGTCAAATGAACCCCGCTTGTTACAAAACAAGTTCACCAAGTYACTMTAAGCATCATACAAACTGAAATAGAGGCGAGKTGGACAGCTRKGTGAGCAGAGAGATCAGCTGTCTGTGCGTGTGTCTGTGTGTGCGAGTCCTGCTGCAGAGACTGTCTGTGAGGGGAGGGGCGGGCTCTCTGTGTGTGACTGGCCAATCACAGCTCATGAAGACAGTCAGTTACCCAATGAGGATCTTCCTTCAGAACGAGTACGGATATTGACGTATTGAAGTATTATTCGTTTCATGCTTGTACTCGTCAAAAATGCATTATACGTAACGGATACTTGTCTGAAACGAGTATCCGGCTCAACCCTATTTGTGAGTGTGTGTGACAGAGTCTATGTGTGTGTGAGAGAGAAAAGATAGTTTAAGTCCTACCTGGCGACCCATAGCTTAGAGCGGCTGTGGCAGAGTGGTTAGGGGAGTCGTCCTGGAACCGGAAGGTTACTGGTTCGATCCCCCGTCCAGCTGTCTGAGTTGTTGTGTCCTTGGGTAAGACACTTCACCCCTAATYCCTCTGATGTGTGTCRCWTCAYTGTATGAATGCGATTGGCACTGATTAGTCTCCATAGATGATTGTATATGTTAGCTTTGTAGAGACATAATACAGTGCTATGTGAATGGATAAATGAGGACACAGKTTGTAGTGTGAAGAGCTTTGAGTGTCCTGGATGGATAGAAAAGCGTTATATAAGTACAGTCCATTCTATGTACAGCTTCTCTCCTGATCCTGCCCCAAGATCCCCATGACTTTTATACCTAACATCTAACATTGTTTTAAATGTTAATGTTTTCAGAGCATCTTTATTGAACAAACATGTCCAACTTACATGCGTAATGAAACTCKTTTCTTCTTCTTCTTTAAGACAGTGGTTGAGAAAGATCACAGCTTGTTGTAGTCTTTCTGTAATATTTGCAGTTTCAGTTTTTCTAACTAGACAATATACTGTATATATACTGTGTGTATATGTACTGTATGCTCATGTAAGAAGATGTTCATAAATTGGATGCCTGAATAACCAACTTCAGTTCCAGTTAAAAGGT